ATGCACTCATCCTCCAGGCTGAGGCTGCCTCCCGAGTTGGGTCGTTTGCATTTCATCAAGGATGCCTTTAAGTAGGCGGTGGTGTGACTGGAACTCACCGTCATGGCTCTTTCCGACCCCAAGACCGGTGACAACAGCCCGTTGGACCTCTCACTCAAGTCCGTGTTCGCCCGGATTTGCTCGTTCCGCTTGTCTTCTAGGGGAGAAAGTTCGATCGCGATCGAGTCCGTGAGCAGCGAAGGTCTGAAACCAAGATCCAAAAGCTTTTGTCCTTTGCTATGGACATCCAGCGGATTGAGCATGCTGCCTCCGCGATTGTGAGGATGAACCAGTAGCTCTGCTGGCCTCAAGGTGGTGGTGTAGGCCAGCTGCGATTCTTTCAAGAAGTTGACAAGCCTGTCGAGCTTTCTGTTGGGCTGGACCTCCGTGTTGTCCATGATTCGGGCGATCTCTGCGGCGAGTTTCTCCTCCATGGCCGGGTTTGGGGTCCTTCGAATTTTTCGCCTTGCAAGGGGCCTCCTGATCTGCAAATATGTGCTTTGGATGCACCTATACACAGCCACACTTGATTCCAAGCACATCAAGCTATGCACCGAGGACCCTCCTGGTTTTCTTTTTCATAAACTGCCCGCATGATGCCCATCTAATCCATGCCGTTCAAATCAACCCCTTGCCCCTGGCCCTGGCCCTGGGAAAGATTCTGCAAGGCCATGCGGTTCTGCCGAACCGTACAGGATGGCTTGTGCACCCCTAGCCCTGACTTGCACCAGCTACAGCACCAATGGTGAGGACTCGTCGTCATCCTGTCGCACTGTGGCGAGCCTTGACAAGGAACGTTCGTGCCAGGTGGCAGCTCGCTACTGCGATGCACTTCAACATCCTCACATCTCCGAGAATGGTTGCCATAGTTCTTGCGACAATTGGAGCAGCAATAATTCTTCGAAGCTCGGCATAATCTCTGGCAGCCGGGAGTAGCACAGGCATGCCATCCAACCAAATCCATTATTCACAGGAACAAAGCTGGAAGTCAGGAGGGAACTCGGGCAGAAAACTCTATATAGTCCACACAACATCCATGCAATCAAGACCATGCACGAACAAGAAAACAACAACAAGAAGCCATGGAGGCTGAATGCAAGATTTGCTTAGCCAACAAGCATTGCCATGGAAACCTGCATGCAGGTTGCATGAAAAACACTGCATGACATACATGTTCAAAGCCCCAAGGGCTGCCATGCCAAAAGCCCGGACGGGCTGCATGTCATGCATGAAGCCAGGAAGAAGCATGATTCAAATACATACATTTCCCTTATCAAAAATTAAAAACACAAGCTGCTAAAATTATGCTAAAATTAACATGAAATTAACATGATCCTAATTTTACTCTAACAGTTAGCATTTCATCTATTCATTTAGAACAGTTATAACCCTTTACACTGCACTTAGAACATGGTTACACCATTGTTAGTGTATACTTACTAACAGCGGCAACCTCGCTAAATCAGTAGCTAACCCACAGCCCATCAAAGTAAGCGCCCTCAGCGCCCTCCGCGCCCTCAGCGCGCGCTCAGCGCCCTCCGCGCCCTCAGCATCCCTCAGCGCCCTCACCGCCCTCAGCGCCCTCAGCGCGCTCCGCGCCCTCAGCGCCCTCCGCGCCCTCAGCGCCCTCAGCGCCCTCCGCGCCCTCCGCGCCCTCAGCGCCCTCAGCGCCCTCAGCGCCCTCAGCGCCCTCAGCGCCCTCCGCGCCCTCAGCGCCCTCAGCGCCCTCCGCGCTCCTCCGCGCCCTCCAGCGCCCTCAGCGCCCTCAGCGCCCTCAGCGCCCTCCGCGCCCTCAGCGCCCTCAGCGCCCTCAGCGCCCTCAACGCCCTCCGCGCCCTCCGCGCCCTCAGCGCTCTGAGCGCCCTGAGCGCCCTCAGCGTCCTCCGCACCCTCCGCGCCCTCCGCGCCCTCAGCATCCCTCCGCGCCCTCACCGCTCGCAGCGCCCTCAGCGCCCTCAGCGCGCCCTCAGCGCCCTCCGCGCGCTCAGCGCTGTCACTGCCCTGTCCCGGGGACATGTGCTCCGACTTTGGCACAGGATGCGCTCGGCCGGTGAAAATTTCAGCGTCTATTTGACGTGTCTTTCGTGCAAATGTCTTACACTGTTGCAAGCAAGGGCATGTCAAATAGCCTGCAAGTGTCCATCACACGGGCTGCGCCCCCCCCAACCCCCCCGCTGTTTTAAGCCGTGCAAGGTTGCTTTGAAGCATATGCCTTTGTTTGAAACCCAGCAAATGAGGGCGTCTCCGCCCTTGTAGATACATGCTGAACCAGAATCGCCAAATGAGGGGCGTGTTTAAGATAGATGATGAAGCGGAATACCAGCAACAGCTACAACAGGAAATCCGTCCTAAATGTGAAATTGTAAGGAAAACTTGATTTTCCCGAGGAACAACCATATGTTGTCCTTCTGAAAACCTGAAGAAATGACACGAACGCCATAGGTAATAGGAAAATGGGCTTTTCCTACAAAAAATCAAGGAAAACTTAGGGAAATACCACGGAATCCGCAGGAATATCGTGTTTTCCAGAGGAAAAACCAAACAGATCCTAAGGAAACAAAAGAACATCCCTAGGAAAACAGTTTTTTCCCCTGGAAAAATTCAGGAATTGCTGTATTGTACATGATTTTTTTTGATCCTTATTTTAATTTTTTTTTGATGCCTCTGCCCCAGGAATTGCTGTATTTTGAGTGATTTAGTTTTTTTTGATCCTTATTTTAATTTTTTTTGATCTTTCCATTTATTTTTTTTTGGATCCTTATTTAATTTTTTTTGATCCCTCACCCCAAACAAGGCCGACCCCGCAAATTGTAGTTCCCCCATTAGCTTGATGCAAAACACAAGCACAAGAACACACCGCAAATTGTAGTTCCCTAGTGGCTTCATGCAAAAGACAAGCAGATGAACACACCGCAAATTCTAGTTCCCTAATAGCTTCAGGCAGAACACAAGCAGAAGAAGACCCTGCGAATTGTAGTTCCCCAATAGCTTGATGCAAAACACAAGCAACACCGATCCCTGCAAATGCGAACCCCCCAATAGCTTCATGCAAAACACAAAGAAAACCGAACCCTACAGCAACAACAAGAACACCAGCAACAGCAACAACAACAACAACAAGAACAACTACCACGACGGCAACGACGAGGACGAGGACGAGGACGACGACGACGATGACCTAGATGTCGACAACGACACCAAAAAACAACGCCAGAAGACAGAAGATTTGAAATTGGCATTTCGCACTATTCACACGCGAAACACGACCCTGCAAATTGTAGTGCTCCAATACCTTCATGCAATACACAAGCAAAACCAGACCCTGCGAATGCTAGTTCCCCATTAGCTTGATGAAAAACACAAACAATAAAAGACTCTGCAAATTGTAGTTCCCCAATAGCTTGATGCAAAACACAAACAAGGCCGACCCCGCAAATTGTAGTTCCCCCATTAGCTTGATGCAAAACACAAGCACAAGAACACACCGCAAATTGTAGTTCCCTAGTGGCTTCATGCAAAAGACAAGCAGATGAACACACCGCAAATTCTAGTTCCCTAATAGCTTCAGGCAGAACACAAGCAGAAGAAGACCCTGCGAATTGTAGTTCCCCAATAGCTTGATGCAAAACACAAGCAACACCGATCCCTGCAAATGCGAACCCCCCAATAGCTTCATGCAAAACACAAAGAAAACCGAACCCTACAGCAACAACAAGAACACCAGCAACAGCAACAACAACAACAAGAACAACTACCACGACGGCAACGACGAGGACGAGGACGAGGACGACGACGACGATGACCTAGATGTCGACAACGACACCAAAAAAACAACGCCAGAAGACAGAAGATTTGAAATTGGCATTTCGCACTATTCACACGCGAAACACGACCCTGCAAATTGTAGTGCTCCAATACCTTCATGCAATACACAAGCAAAACCAGACCCTGCGAATGCTAGTTCCCCATTAGCTTGATGAAAAACACAAACAATAAAAGACTCTGCAAATTGTAGTTCCCAAATAGCTTGATGCCGACCCCGCAAATTGTAGTTCCCCCGTTAGCTTGATGCAAAACACAAGCACAAGGACACACCGCAAATTGTAGTTCCCTAGTGGCTTCATGCAAAAGACAAGCAGATGAACACACCGCAAATTCTAGTTCCCTAATAGCTTCAAGCAGAACACAAGCAAAAGAAGACCTTGCGAATTGTAGTTCCCCAATAGCTTGATGCAAAACACAAGCATCACCGATCCCTGCAAATGCGAACCCCCAATAGCTTCATGCAAAACACAAAGAACACCGAACCCTGCAACTTGTGGTTCCCCCACAGCTTCATGCTAAACACAAGCAAAATCAGACTCCGCAAGTTGTAGTTCCCCAATAGCTTCATGCAAAACAGAAGCAAAACCAGAGCCGTCGAATTCTAGTTCCCCAATAGCTAGATGCAGCAAAGACCGCAGTTGCCGCTGTTGGCAACCACAACCAGTGGGCCAGACTTAGGAAAGGAAGCCGGGGAGGGCCAGACCTAGGGAAAAAAAACCGCTCCGCCCCTTATGGACGATCTACATTCGTTGTTCACTCCCCTGCACCCAACAACATGTTGGGTGGGCATGATGCCAGGGGGAACTGACCGTCCCGTATGCCCAAGAGAGATGGAGAGATGGAGAGAGAAAGCCCTCTTGTCAGCTGCATGTGGGAATTCTCAATCATGTCCAGAGTTGCCACAAGTATTCTATGGTAGTCATAGGGGCACGGGGACGAGGCTGGGGTTGTGTCGTTGTTTAGGGGGTGCTGACAACTTGGAGACAATGAGACCCCACTAGATGTTTCAGGGCCACAGTCTGGAATACCCCGAAGCCGACCAGTGAATAAAACCAGGAGTGGTCCGGCGGGCTAAACGCCTGCGGGTCGCGCAGCGACCCCTATGCCCGGCAGAAAGAAAGAGAAAGCCCTGCAAGGCCAAGAATCTGGTTTGCGTGGATCCGGGCTCCGGCAACTTCGGCGCCGCTGGCCCCGGCAAGGGCCACGGCAAGGGCCTGGAGCCCGGTTTTCGGAGGCCGCAGCGGCAGGAAACGTCTTCATCCTTCTGGCAATGCGGCTCAGAAGAGCATAGGCTTCAAGACGAGTGAAGTCAGCGCATGTCATCCTCCAGGCTTTACCAATGACTCGAGCCCTGCCGTGGTCAGTAGAAAATTTGACCTGGGCACTTCAAGAAGGGCCTCATTTGTGCCATCCGATCTGAGCGGAAGCCATTGGCAGCCATGATGGATCCAGACCATGGGATGGTGAAGGCACCTCAGCTTAGTGCGGCGGAATGTGCGACAGGGATGATTCAGTTATCATTGTGCCGCATTGTCTGTTTTCTCCGTGAGCCCGCTAGCGATATCCGGCGGCTGCGAGCTGGCTTTAAGCGGGTCGCAGCTGCAGCAACAGTCACAAAGCTGTCGCAATCTGTCGCACTCTGACATGTCATTCACTGCCTCCGGGGTCTCGGTCGCCGAAGCTGGGTTGGCGTAGATGGGCCTTCAGCAGAACCAGCAACAGAAGTTGCAAGACCTACCTGCGCGGATTGTCCAGGCCGTCTTCTTGGTCGGCCGTGGCGGAGGAGGCTCATTGCCAGCGCTGGAAGCAGCTTCTTGAACTCAACTTCCACTGCATCAAGTAGCTTCTGCCCAGGACACATGGCAGCTGCGAAAGCACTGCAGCGTTGTGTCCTGACCTCAGCTTGATGTGTACAGTGTACATGAGCTGCCGTAAAGTTGCCCATGTCCAGGTCCTCGACAATGCAGACTCCGTTATCGCTGCTTGCATGCAGAGCTGTGTTTGCTGTTCGCTGCATGACTTGAAGACCCAGGCATTTTCACCGCCTGTCGGGAAGTTGACCTAGTTGCTCCCGCTTTGTCAGCTTAGGAGTGTGTCGAGATTGCGGACGGTGGAGGCGCGTCAAGAATCTTCAAGAAATCTGCTCAATCAATTTAATATGTGACGATGTTGCTGTTCGCAGCCAGAGGAAGGTTAGTTACTAAGCAAGAAATTACTAGTGACTGTCCTTCTGCCAAGTTCATGAAGCCAAAGCCATCGAACATGAGAGCTTTCGAAGACTTGCGTATCCCACGGTTCTAGGTGTTTATGGGAGTTACCGAAATTGGGGGTACCTCATCTTGGGGTCCTTAAAAGGATCCTACTATGTGGGGCATTTTAGGGTCCCCTGTTTTCGGAAACTCCCTGACGCAGCCGAGCGCTGCTCGAGACGAGGTCTGGCCGAGCTGGCGATCTCCGGTGATCTCCTGCCTAGCGGTGAGCCTTTGAAGAGCAGAGTCTTGAGTTTGGAAAGGGTCTGTATAGACGGAGGCTCCGGTAGCAGGGTGTTGGGGATTTTGGAGGGAAGGGCTTAGGACGTGTATAGAGGGAAACGTGTAAAAATGAAAGATACTTGCGATACACTTCAAAGCTTCACTTGTGAATTTAAGGATCTTGCGCAGGAAGATGCTGGTCTCCCGACTCATAGTCATGACTTCTTCGCACCTAAGTTTGCGAGCTCACAACTCTGGGTCTGATGTCCACTGTTGGCAGGTGATGACATCTACAACTACTTCATGCGGATAGGCTTTTACACAGCGGCGAAGCAGCAAATTGGAAATGTCCGAAACAGTCACATTCTTCTGGAGTCGTTCTTTTGCTGAAGCAGAGTACCGGATCGCTGATCGTTAAGCCCCCCGACCACAGCTTTGCTACTATATAAGCAAGCTAGGTTGCCCTTATCGGGAACTTCCGGCTAACGTTGATCGTGTAGTTGCACCAACATGATTTCGGAGTTTACAGAGTCACCTGCTCTGTAATGCGATACGTGCGTGAACCACTATATAGACCTCCCTTACAGATTCTGATATGTCGTTATGTCGGAGTCACAAGCATGTATTAATGCATGGGGTACCATAGACCGCAGTCGTGACGAGGGTTGCATCCTGCCACAGTTCCGTGATTGTACTCAGATGGCGGGAATGTTGGGCAACATCGCTGCCTTCGGCATTAAAATGAATCAGGCCGAAGGGATGAAACATGCCACGTCAACATTCGAAGTTATTGTCCGTTCTATTCTACTGCAGTGCTTCAGCGTGTGTTATGCACTTGCTTGCCCCTTGACTTCGGGAGAACTTTCCTTGACTTGCGCCAGGCAGCAATCGAAGAGGTCTTCGAGGCTCGAAGTGAATCCCGTGTAGCAAACTGCGCGGCCTGGCAACAGGAAGCCTAACTGTGCCACGACGGAAGCTCACTCAGACCTAGCATGCTGACTAAGTGTGCAGCTGTGGGGTCGTGACTTACAGTAGCTCAGTTGCAAGGATCGTCCTTACACGTTCGTTAATCATTAATCATTGTTTTCACTGCCTTTGTGCTCCCTGTTGCTGTCTCTCGCTCTCTCTAACTCTTGGTTCCTCGCTTCCGTCCCCAGGCTTCGTGCAGACAACCTCCGTTGGCCTCCAATTAATGACTTCATGTGTCTCAATGCTTGAAACCCGGCACCAGGTGTCACGCTGTGGGTCCCGAGTCGCAGTTGAAGAGACTTGTTTTGGTTCCTGACACCAGGAGTACTGGCATGTGAAGAAGCCAGCGTTGGTGGTGTCTTTTGCCTCTCTGCTGCAGCGACAGGGTCCCACAGCTGCGGTCTTGCCGTTCATGTACCTGGCTCCGCCCATGATTCCGCCAGCCTCGTCTCGCTCGCACATCACCAGACGAAGGACCCAGACTGATGCCCAGGTCCCGTTCCTCAACGTCGCGATGCGGGCCTCCTTGTTGAAAGTCTTCCCTCACGGCCGCTTTGTGACCGTGATCACAGATGTGGCGAACTGCCACTCGGCGATCGGAGTTAAATCATGGGCCGCGAAACCGTTGCATTTGTGGGATCGCATGTGCCGCAATTCCCTGTGCAGCACTTCTGGTCCAGCACAGGTGTAGGTCACTCAGGCGAAGCACTGGCTTCATGAGGTGTTTGCCGTAAAGATGTTTCTGCGCCTGGTGACCAAGCTAGCCACCTCGAAGATACCAGTACTTGACGGGACGCTGGTGATCATGCATCATCGACACTATAGCCTTGCTTAGAGAGGAGATTGTCATCGATCTTACAACTCGAAGCTGAATGCTTGTCCTTCTTGCGGGATCAGCATCCTACAATTTCATCTGTTGTTGCTGAGCAGTCTGCTGACCCTGCTACACACTCGTGTAGCTTCTTCTGCGGATTCTGCAGAATCTTTCTGGAGCCACGGGAGGTCGAGAGCATCCGTGGATAGACCGATACGACGCCACCGCAGCTTGGATGAATGGTCTGTTTTGTTGAATCAGCTGATCCATGACCAGACGGAAACGAAGCTCCAGGCTTTGAACCACAGCCTTGTGGTGGGGAACGAGACTCTCGAAGCCCAGGCGAGCGCTTTACACTGGGGTGACTCATGCAAAGCCGGGCGTGTTTCAGCAAGATACCGGTCCGGGAACGAGCAGCAGCGAGGTGATGAATGGACGAGTCGGTACTTGGCCTTCAGCTTCTGAATCGATCGTGGCCCTCAGCCAGCGACGGTGAAGCAGCGAAACCCTTCAAACCTTCACTCGTATTCTCCTGTGATTACAGCAAACAGTCTGACTAGCAGCTCTTCGACGTCGCATGAAACTGTGTTCCATCGGTGTGATTTTTCATCAGCGACCTTTCTTGCAGGCGCTGGAGATGGGTTGGCCATCCTCGGCGCTGCTGAGGACCTCAGGCTCCTCAACTTGGGGTCTCAATCCAAGCTTGGCACTAAGCTGGTCCAACGCCGATGTTCAGGCATGGTCATCCACCCACAATTCTACGATGCGAAGGCCAAGAACCACGGTGCGACGTCCCAGGCTCATCGGTGTGCTGCATTGAATTTCTGTGCACTCGCTTTCCTGGCAGACGGTTGTGATTTTCTTCGGCGGAACTGCCCCGATGCGGGTCGGGCAAATCGCCAGAAAGCTGTCAGCAGCTCATCCAGAGCCGCAGCTGCAGCAGGATCGGAAAAATGTGAGTCTTTCTTCCTTAGCTTTTGCATTTTAGAAGTCTTGGTCCTGCGATGAGCCACTAAGGAAATGTCCATCGTTGTTCTTTGCCATGGCCCTGGGCCCCTGGCGAAGTGTAGCTCATAGGTCCCTCCTGAATTCAGACTGGCAGTACTTCAGCATTGGAAGGAGTCCGTAGCCTCAGTGAGCGGCAGAGTTGCATACATTTTGCCATCTTGCATCATGGCACGGCAAGTCTTCTTGTCGTTGCGCACGGACTGCATCCTTCATTGTAGCTTAGGTGGCAAGAACGAAGAGCTGCGGTCCCAGCTACAGGACACGGTAAAGGCATCTAGTTGGTGCTGTGGGAATACCTTTCAGCAGCATGTTCAAGGTATTTCGTGAAAGGTGCGAAAGGTTGGACCGTTACTGTTGTCTTGATTTTGGCGACAACGAATGCTGGATCCAAAACGGTCGAATCCCGCCATGCTAAGTCTGACACAAGACAGCATTCTCGAATTATCCCTCTGGATCCAGTTGAGGACTTCGTCCAGCAAGGAAATGGCCGTCACGTCCCTGAGCTCGCACTGGTGCTTGAAGATCTCTGGATTTCGCTTTGAACATTTGAAGAGATGGGTATGTTTTTGCATTCCAATGTCAGCATCCGATAGTTGTTTTGCAGCTTCAATCTGGAAATGCACTGCTCCCGACATGGTGCAGCGCCGCATGTCTGCAGGTCGTGGAGGGGTTCGTGAGCTCTGAGCAAGTGCGGGACTACTTTGCACAGGTCGGGCATGCGGTATTGACCAGATAAAAAAAGCACGTCCAAGTCCCGAATATCCGCTTCTCAGGCGTAGTGGAATCTACTTGTAGTATCGTTGCAAAGCCCTTCTTTTCTAATTCAACAAGTCGACTTCGGCCCACCACACTCGACACTAATAGATTTTGCGGGCCGAATCTTTCCAAATGGCACATAGCTCAATTGCCAGCAGGCTGTGCACAGCCTGACAAGCCAATCAGGTACAAGTTGTATAAGGCGTACATCTGCGGTTCAGGAACCCGCAAGTGGGTGGTAGTGACAGTCGTCCTAGCGAACTGTTGGAGAAGTCAGCCGTGGACCCCGTGCCTAACCAACACGACCACCGCACTGTTGAATTACATTGTTTCTTTCTCCCTGGGTGGCACTAAGTCTACAAAACGGTACCACTGCATATACGTGTACAGCCGCTAGCAGTATCACGAAGCAGTATCACGACTAGACTGTAGTAACCGTTTCCTGCGCCTCAACGTGCAGTCGTTATGGGGAAGATGTGCCCGCGGGGCAATCTGGGCAAGTATTAATTAGTGTTGAATGAAGGCGGGGAGTGTTTGTTTTGTTGTCGTGCATTGTCGTGCCATGGAGCAAGGCTGCAAAGCTGCACCTGCATGTTGCTGCTTTGTGTGCTGAGTCAGGCGTTTTGCGTGCTGGGCAAAGCTGGGCCAGGCGTGGCTGCTGAGGCACATTCTTGGGTCATGTTGCTTGAATGAAGTCGTTTGTTCATCGATGTTCAACCGATCACGGCCGCTCACTCTGTGATTCATTGTGATTCCGCAGGCTATAGCTTGCGGTGTCCCGATGCTGATAGAGAGCCGAAACGTCATGCCGCAGGAGCAGGCTCTCTCCGGCTGCAAACGATCAGATAGGTAGAGAGGCAATGTTGTGCTTGCTGGCTACGGCCACGAGAAAACCGCTGGCTACGGCCACGAGAAAACCAGTGGGGGCGACAAGTGCTAGAGTGCTCTGAAGTCTTCTGCTTCACGTCCCTGCTGTTCAGCCTGTGCTGGACTACCTCGCTGGCTCCGGTGCTGGCCTGGTCGTGCAGGCATGGGTTGTGGCTCCTGTGCGTTAGTGTCCTGCTCTGTACGAGTGGGAGTGGCTGGGAAGGACTTGGAGAATCTCCCAGAAGAACCATGGCCGCAGCACGGATAGGGTTTTTGAGGTGAAGGCGAGGAAGCTTGCAACAGTCGATGAGCCAGCTGACAAAGTGATCCAACACGATACCAACTCAAGGATCCTTCTCAAGCTAAGGATTTGACCAGCAAGGCAGGGCAGTAGGAAGCAAGCTTCCTTGCAAATGGCATCATTTTTCTACAGTCGGTGGAAGAAGCTTACAACGAGACTGTGCGCATTTCGGTCCCTGAACAGGTCGCCGAATGCCGAAGGGCGATTGATGCTCTGCCCGCGAACAACGCTGTCTTCGAGGCTTGAGCGAGCACGTCTGCGCGACAGGCTGTGACGACACCTTTGTTGATTCAAAAGGTTGCAAATTATCTCGACAAATTGGTCATGGAGCCTCTTGACTGCATGAACAAGCATCTACGACAATGACCGATGAGAAGTCGGGAATGCAGATAATGGTCGTTGTCAAACCTAGTTTTTGCAGACGCAGGAAGCTGCTGCAGAAACTCATGGATTGCGGATCTGTGGCAAAGTCGTGCAGCTTTTCGTGCATTAGCTTTCGACACCGTTGTCAGCTCTTGTGGTAACGAGGAACAGGCGTGCCAGTGATGTCGCCGAGTGCTGTGAGCAGCTGCTTGGAAAGCAAAGAGCCGGGGTGCTCTCGCGTCACTCCGTGACGGAGTCTTGTTTCCTTTCCGACAAATGCCGATCAACAGAAGGGTTCCGTTTGTGTCGGCCCAAATAGGATCTGTTGGCTGAACCACCTTTGCCCGAGGACTCCCTTACGGCAGCGAGGCAGGCGCTAGAAGCCAGGAACAGTCTGAATTCCAATGTTGAATATTTGGGGAGTCAGAACGAAGATGCCAGACCGAAGCGTATCATCCAATGATATGTGCGAGTGGAAGCCCCGAAGATGCCAGATGGCGTGCAGCCTGCGGTGATCGGCGCAACAGAGATGAGTTTCGGTTCCTAGCGGTCCTCGCGGTACAACCAGCGAAAACTAATTCTGACGCCTTCGAAGCGCGGACGGCTCTACCCAAAGGGTATCTGTCTTGTGCAAGTGGCAGTTTCACTTAGACTCGATGCCCACAAGATGGCTGAGTTCATGCTTCGGCATCACGTTAACGAGGGTGCGATGCCACCTGACATGGTTTTTATTTTGCTCCAAATCAGCTTATTATGCTCGCTGTCGAGTTGGGTCTGCAGCGACAGCTCCACCACGAATCGTGGAGTTTCTTCTTCCGCAGCGGCCGAGGCGAGCCAACCGACGGCTCGCGCCTTCAGGGGCAGATCAAGGAAGTGCATCAGGCCGAAGTCCTCGTGAACTGCTGCCAGCTGGTGTAGTCCAATCATTCCAATCCGATCAGCTCTGACCGACAGGACGGAGGCTTGATCGTTTGTGCTTCGATGGCCGAGGATAGAGCGAACCCAGCTACATGCGGTACTGTAGTCTCTCTCACTAAAGAGATCAGACCGCCATCTTTTGGAGACGTCATGCAGGAGGTATCTTTCACGCCCACAGACCTTCCTGCCAACCTGCAGCGGCAGGCGCGCGCGCACGCGCGATAGTGTGATATCGGGATCCTCGGGTGTGAGTTCCGATGGAGTACCCCCATGTTCGGGCATCCTGTGCAACTCAAACATGATTGACCCCCAAACCGAGGTGCTATCGGGCGAAACATCGCGTTTGCAGAGGCTGGTCTTAGTCAGACGACGTCTGGATGTAATGCGCGGCAGCTTGTCCTTTTTCTCCATTCTGCAAATGCTAGGTGGTGCAGCAACAAATAGCAAGACAGCAGGGGTCGTTGTTTTCCATCGGCTTGGGGGAGCTGTTCTACAGATACCTGTATGGGGATAGCCGGAAAGCCGAGGAAAGCAAGGTTCGAAGACCTTGCTCCTCCAGCTTAAGATGTGGCCCTTCTACGCTTTAGAATCTAGTTGCTGGAATACCGCACTCTCCCCATAGAGACGGACCTTCGGCACTGTCAAACCTAGGGGATCAGCTGTCCCAGGGCCACCGTCCTTTTCACGCTCGCTCTGGGTGGCGCGCGGGCTTTTGCCAAAGAGGTGCGACGGTACAGACCACGTCATTTGTTGGAAGCTTCATTCGCATCTGCTAGGTCATGATCATCCCAGAGCCAGATGAGATCATCGTTGGCGAAGTGGTGCAGTTCAACGCAAGTGCAGGGTGCGCGGGTCTCTAGAGACTAGCCCCTGGCTTTTTTCTCCGGGAAGCAAAATCGATTTTTTTGGACCGCAAAACACCTCAAACAACTCTGCCAAGACTGTGTCTCGATGGTTTTTGTCGGGGTCACGATCCTCCAGACAGTTGCTGGCAGATTAGGGCAGATCGTCGCCAACGAAATACAGTAGCACAGCTTTTAGTGTTCTGGCTGGGGAGGGTTACATCGTCGAGACTCCAGGTTCGAACGTGGGTTCGTGCCCACTTCCTACAACAGAGCTCCCCACAGCTTGCGGCTGATCGTGCGGCTCGTATCTTTCAGCCTTGGACACTCCTGCTACAAGAAGTCGTCCAAAGTGTCCTGCACAATCAATCGTAGGTGCATGTTTCTGAGAGGTATGGCTTCATCAAGCCGACAGTCGACTCGGTGTTCCAGCAGGATGTGTACTTCAACATCAAGGATTGCGCTTCGATTCAAATTTCTTACCTTTGGTCCTTTGGTCATGTCAAAGGGTGCCAGCAAGAGCTTTCCACAGGACTTGTCACGGGCGCTGTCGGATGAGGAACGAGGAGGCGAGAAATCAGTTGGCTTCCGTATGGAATTTGAAGCTCGTCCTTCGTCTTGTGGAGTTCTTACTGCGCCTTTGTACTGCAAGCCGCCAGCCACCGCGAGGTCTGAGCGGGCAGGCGTGCCGCTTCAACTTGCGACTGACGCCCGACAACAGGTGCCCTGAGATAAACACGGAGTTGTCGGCTTCGCACAGATCCCGCACGGCCAGGGTTCCAATCGTCAGGCCTCAAGCTCGACGTGTTGAGCTGGTGGGTGCTGCCTTCGGCGCTGCACTCGGCGCCTGCTGCGGTACATTGTGGCCGTATGTGGCCGTGACGTGTTGCCCAGGAGGCGCTTCAACCAGATTCAGCTACGAGCCTCCTGTGCAGGCCGGCCGAAGAGTCGCAAAATCTCAGGCACATTGCTGCATTCCACCAGGCAGCTGCGGCTCCGGCCGGCTTCTCTGCAGGCAATGGAGAACCAAGCAAATGATCAGTGTCAGAAAGCCCATTTCAAGATGCCTCTTTTCCAAGTTTAGACGGCTTGGAATGCTCTACGAATGGCTTCAACTAGCACTGCCAAGTTGGATCATCATCATCATCCCCCAGCCCCGCAAACCCCTGCTTACCCGTTTATGAATACATTAGCTATTGTTGAGGGCTGTGTGTTTAGATGTAGGCAAAGGTGTGCGTCTTTGGTTCCCTAGCCGGCATTTTCTACGCCTAGACACAACAACAAAACCTATAACAGGTAGGAAATGAGCCAGCTTTAGTTCGCCAAACAAGGAAAGGATGGGAAGCACGTGTTTAACAAATTGAAGCGGATGCCTTTCCCACGAGAGATCAGAAGCGGCGTGCTTACGCGCCGGTACATCATCCCGAACATTGGGAGAAGAAGCACAATCCACCATCCTTGTGCTATGCTCCATCTTTATGGCCGCGAAACTGCGACATACTGGGCGCAACCTTTGCAAGCATCACATCTTATTGGGCAATCTGTTGGACTCGCTGGAATCAACTCGCAGGTGGAGTGACCATGGGCTTGCCGGAAGAGCCGCCCGCCCAGAAGGTTTAGGACATTGGGTGTGTAAGGCTTCGCGTGCTGGTGCTGAAGCGCAAAAGTGGAACCATATAGCGCAGGGGCATGGTGGTGCACATCTAGACTCTAGACCTGAGCATTGATCTAACGGTCCTTGTCTTCGGTTGTATTTAAGTTCGGTTTCAAGGCGTTTAGGATTTTGTTCGCCACAGTTTCGCGACGGGTTCGCAAAGAAAAGAAATGACCTGCGAAAGGTCTTAGAAGAGAGACTGTGCATGTACGTAAGAAATAGACAACATGCCATCGTTCTACAGGCCCAACTGCAGCTGCGAAGCTGTATCATTGCATACCCATCCTCAGCATCCGAAGTGCCAGCTTGATTTTTAACCTCGATCGCGCACAAATCTTCGAGCCAACGATCCCAAACTTGACTCACCACATCAAACCTGCTACCAGCACCCTGCACTGCTACTGGTACTGGTACTGGTACTTACTGCTACTACTGCTACTGCTGCTACTACTACGACAACTACTTCCGCTTCTACTTCTTCTGCGAATGCTTCTTCTACTTCTACTCTTACTACGACAACTACTACTGCTTCTTCTACTACTTCTCCTACTGCTGCATCTTCTTCCACTACCTCTGCTACTACTACTTCTACTACTTCCACTACTTCTACTACAAGTACTACTACTACTACTACTACTACTACTACTACTACTACTACTACTACTACTACTACTACTACTACTGCTACTGCTACTGCTACTGCTACTGCTACTGCTACTGCTACTGCTACTGCTGCTGCTGCTACTTCTGTTTCTACTTCTACTGCTTCTACCATAGTAGTACCACTACCCCTCCTACTGCACTACTGCTACCACCACTACTACCACTACGACGACTATGACAACTACTATTGCTAGTACTAATGCTGCTACTAGTACTACGACGACGACGGCTACCACTACCACTACCCGTACCACTACCACTACCACTTCTACTACTACTACTACTACTACTACTACTTCTTCCTCCTGCTACTGCTACGGCGACTCTGACGACAACTACGACTAGCACTGGCACTTGCACTAGTACTCCCACTGCTACTTCGACTTCCACCTCTGTCGCTACAATTGCCACCACCACTCCTGCTGCAACTTCTCCTCCTCGTGCTGCCACAACTGCAGCTGCAACAACACCAACAAAGACAGCAACTGCTGCAGCTACCGCTACTGCAGCTATGTTGCTGCTACGTCGACTACTACTACAGCTACTGCTACGGCTACCAGTGCCACTCCCATACCACCACTACGTACAGCTAACATGTCACACGAATGATCCTCCAAAGGAAAGCAGTATTGAGCAAAGAAGCCATATCCTGATGAATAAACATGATCAACCCTCAAGACCTGTATTACGGTGTAAAGTGGTCCTGTGCTTATGTGCCTTGCTGAAGTCACGAAACTGTTTGTGACGTCCGTCAAGGTTTGGAGGCGCTGCGACGGCACGAGACACTCAAACAAAGTCACGCTTCAGCTACGAGGCCAGCCGGATGCAAGTTTCCCTCCCAGGATGCATGGATTTGTATGTGGCTCTGTCAATTTTGAATCAACCACACCACTTGAGTGCTCCTGTCGCGATTCGACGGATTGGCCATCCAGCTTTGCAGAAGTGTAGATCAGCTTGCGAAGGCACCGAATCCGACCAGTTCTCTCTCCGGCTTTCACTCAGGCGCGTTTGACTGTCCATCAATTAGCCATGAAGCCAAGCTGGTGTGCTGGGAGAGGTCAAATTGAAAATCATGCATCATGAATTGCGTGACAGAAAGATAAGAGTTGAAGCCGAAAGTGTACAAGGAGATAATCATGCGATCCTGCCGGTCCACCCCCTCCTGCCCCCACAAAAAATGCGGCGGCCTCCCCCCTGATGCGCCGCTTTGCGTGGTGTATTACAGATGACTGCGGCTTACATCGAGAAGCGGGCACTGCCATACGGCAACCTCCTACCTCAGGGGCACCATTTCTAGATACAGACATGTTCAAACCATTGCCTTTTATTTTGGGGTGGTCATAGGTGTCGGGGCATGCCGGGGACAGTCGACCCGGAAAGGCTTCGTCGCTGCTCCAAACTGGCGGCTGAAAGAACAGAGAGGTCAGAGGTGTAAGGAGTATTCGTAGGTCCAGGTTCTTGTTTGTACTCAGCTGGCGAGGGAGCGAAGTGTAGCCATGGTGGTCCGGCTGTTGTGCGGGTGTGTATTGGCATTGCCCATGGGATACATGAGCTGAAAATGAAAGTCTGTCATCATACCCTCACAGCCTCAGGAAGCCTCGTTGTATGTGTGATGACACCAGATAGTAAGAGCTCTGTACTCGCTCAAGAAGCAGATACAGTGTGACAGCCGTGCATTGTAAGAGATGTGGAGATGTTTGCAAGGTGCTCGACTGTGCTGCATTGCTCCTTTGAGTTTTCAATTCAACCAGAACCAGCATGTCAATGTGTTAGCTGACCTGAGCGCGAATGCTGCAATACCTGGCAGGCCTTAAGGAGTTTCTGGTCTAGACAACCCCTCCTTAGCCTTCCGCGCCTCATCACGCCTCGGCCTTTTGACGTGATGCGAGTCGAGTCTGTGGCAAGTCTGTGGCTGTGCACAGACGAGTTTGCGATGTGTGAGTGACAGATCCTGCGCCGCGAGTCCTCGACATTTAGCATCGAGATGTGCCAGTGAATTACGATTGGATTCCAGTGGGTGTGCTTTGTGGCGCACATGGCATTTCGGTGCCGCAGCGTGGACCCAGGGGCAATGTCACCGACGATGGGGCAATGTCAGCTTAGCCTGGTGGAGTTGCATGCCAAGAAATCCAGCAGCTGCAGACAGCTGTGCTGTGATTGCGCGAGCGAGCTGTGAGTTGGTGTGGCGTGTGAATCCCGGTGAGCGTCCGGACAATGAGGTCCCTGTAGCCTGCCGCCAAGAAACCCAGCAGCAAGCCGGTATACTTCTTACTCCGCGCCGTGCGAGTTGATGGCCGTGAGAAGTCTCCAGCGGAGCTGAGTCGGCGCTGCAGGTTACAATCATGTACCAATTTGCCAGAAGTGTTTCGTGTTACATGAAGCTCTGACCCCTGCTGCACTTCTCCCAGGCGCTCCGCCAGAGCCCACGTTCGAGAGAACCTCAAGGCCCGGAATGTTCCCAAGGAGTAGCATTTGAGTGTCGGGTGTCGCACAACTTCTGACCCTGAAACATATCTTTTCAGGTTCAGCGCCACCCCGCCGCCAGGTGCCACTCCCGGCTTCTTTTCAGTGTCGTACGCTTGTGGAGCGTTGAGTCGCGCAGAATGAAAATGTCATGTAACAGCGGCAGCACCCGCGGTGCATGGCGAAGCTGACGCACGGCTTGTTGCCCGTTCTTGCACCCACGGCCCTCGCCATTGCTCCTCGCCTTTCGAGCTTCGACCTGTCAGCCCACATTGCAACCTCAGCAGCTCCATGTGCTTGACTTCGACTGCAGGCCACGACGTGAAGCGCGCAGCCGAGGGCCATGCCGAGGCATGTAGTGAATGTGCAAGCGCAGGCTTTGCTTCCTGACTACTGTATTCAAGGACATTAGCCGCCTCCGATCAAGAATCTAGTGCCACTCAAGTCAGCCAAACACTCGCCGAAAGCAGAAGCTGAACATCGGCACACCGAGACGTCATGGAACAGCGCCGGGCGTCTGCAACAGATGTCCCGAACCAACTACTGTGCATGCGTGTGTGTGTGTGTGTGTGTGTGGGTGCAGACAAGCGCACGTTAAAAGCGCATGCCTTGCTTTCGCGAGTTTGTGCCAGGAGCCTCCGAGCAAGCGACAGGCACGCCCTACTTGAGCACACCGCTAGCAGCCGCTAGCAGTGACCGGCAGTGGGGGCCATATCAGCGATGATCGGAGATGTCCATGTTCCGTCGGCGAGGCACATCAGGAGCCCGCTGTGTCTGAGGAGGCAGGAAGCAGAGCCGCATCTAACCGACAATCGACTGTACCGCGGTCCGATGCCGATGCAGCAGGGTGATGAAGTTCCATGGTCCATGAGTCAATAGCAACTAGATCTTGCTCACACCCCTTCGTCGATGATGCTATGGGCTTTGGCCTGCCTTGAACACTTTCTTGTCATCGTACCGTATCTTGCTCCAAATTACGACTGTGTTCGATCCTTCTGGTTGATAGACGTCGTGTTTGACTTTGTGTTCAATCAAAACTCTTCTTTGCTTTCGATGAGAAATCATTCGGCCATTTAGCATCGGCTTCCAGCGTGGCTATAATATTTTCCTCCCTTCTAGCACGGGTGGCAATCATCTCCATCAGGTTTCGGGTTCAGGGCGAAACCTGTATGCGCAGAATCGTTGTCGTGCAGCTCTCCGTGGCGTGACCCACATGTAGCTACGCTGTGCATTGTGACCTCGGTGAAAGCCGCGACGCAGCCAGCTGGCTGGCTGCGCGAACTTGTTAAGTGCTTCTTCGTCCTGGGAACCCGCTTCGAATGTTCTCGTCATCCGAAGAGATTCAGGAACAACTCACAATGAAGCCAAGAGGGCGTGAGATGGATGTGCGGCCACAGCAGGCGTGACAGGATGCCTGGGAGAAGACTGTGAACGAGGATCTTGACATTGTCCAAAGTTAGCCGGAGACCAAGTCTGCACACAACGAGTTCTGCCATTTGCGACCTCAATCCGGAAGCGGCTGTTTGACTGAGCGCTCATGAGAGCCTGAGAGCCGTATAAGTAGGGAGGCATGTCATCGTGCATTCGTGCCAGGTTGACAATGAGTGCTTCTGCCTTCTAGATCCTGCAGGAGCAGAGAGAGCTCAAGCTGTGCATATAGAGCAAAAAGGCAGGTGTCGCTCTGCTTAAGCGATGTGCAGAGCCTGTAGAGGAAGCCGTTGGACTCGGGCTCCACACCCTGTGCCATGCAGACTGGATCCAGTAGAAATCCATCGACGGTGATGCATCCGGAAAGATCCCTTGTCTGCTTCTTGTAGAGTGCAATGCTGCGAGACAGGTACGCGGAGATGATCAACGATCTTTGCAAGCACAGTGCTGTGCGGCTGTCCATTCTTTTAGGATCGCGGGATGGGGTCTTTGATCTGCGTGTGGGAAAGTGACTGCTCTCTTGCTCGTTGCTTTGTTTGTGCCGCTGATTCTACCAGGACTCTCGTCCGCCGTAGTGGACAACGTTCCGCTCGTCGAGGCAGTTGAAGTGTGCAACCTCCAGTGAAGCCGGACGAACAGTTAGAAACAAGAACCGACAGTCTGGAACAACAGCACTTCACCGCATGGGTTATGGTGGACAGAATTCGGCAGCATGCGGCACACAACACTCGCAGCCTTAGCAACATGCGATGCTTGCTGGCTCCAGCGCACGTTTGACTAGGTCGGTTGATTGGTTTTGGTTACCCTAGTAACCCTATACTATAGTAGTCTTGAAGAAATGCGAAGTCAAGTCTGCCTAGCAGGTCAGAGAAGGCTTCCAAGGTCTTCATCTCTCCTGCATGGTCGGTTCGAACCCGGTAGAGCAGCATACTGTACTTTATGTGTCCATGCAGCATACTGTGTTTCATGTGTCCAGCCCGAACCAAGAGCAATGGTAATGGAAGTGGGTTGGCCAAAAGGCCTCGCACTTCTCCTTTTCCTGGTGCAATGCTTTCTGGTGTTCAAGCTGCTGAGATGGTGTTGCTGGCTTAGCATCACGAGTTTCCACAGGCCATGGCAGAACAACCGAGGGTGTAGGGGTTTCGACAGCAACATGTGTTCAGAGTACTTGTTCGTCACTCCCTTTCTTGCTGCTCGTAAACCCTCAAATGATGATACGTTCACCTCCGCGCCACTGAGGTCGGAACAACGTTCGCGGCTGCGCTTGCAGCATCGCAAGCTGCATTGGTGTATGACCATGATGTGGTTTTCCCCACGACCCTTCGGACATACGTGTTCCCCGCGTGCCTGATAAGGTCAATCCTGGAACTTCGCGTCCTTCCGTAAATGGTATCTGCACTACATGCGACAGGCAGGTTATGATTCAGATGATTCAGAATGAGCGCAGCATTCCAGTAAGTCGACTTTGCTTTGTCCGGAGCGGATAGTGGTGTAAGTTGGCGCACCGACGTGAAATGTGGGCACTGTTTGCACGCGTGTTGCCATGCTTGCAAATATCGTTGCCTGCAGCTTCAACTGACTGATTAGAAGGCTCATATGGCTTACGACAGCAGAAACAGATCCGGAAAATTCAATCTGGTAAGTGAAGCCGTCGAACCGTCACTTCATTGGATGCCCGCGGTCAGCACAACAGTCGGAAAGTTTGACTTTTCCCTGAGGAGGAGCGGGTCGTGAAGGCTAAGGTGACCCTACAAATAGGCGCGGCACTGCACCACAGCACAGTGACTCTGCTCGCTGCAAGTCATGCTTTCCATGTCCGCACATTCAGCAACATTCAGCAACAAAATCGCGAGGTGTCTTCATCATCGGCTGCTATGTTCTACCGTGCACGTACTCTTTGCGAATGGTTACCTTCCAGGCATCGAGTTTCCAAGCTACGGGCAAAAGTGGACGGGCCGTTACTGAATGCAGGGTTCATTACCATAGCAGCCCCGCAATATCGTCAGCCTTCAAGAGATGCTTACGTCAGATAGTAGTGTGGAAAGGTTGCATGTTGTGCTCAGAACCTACAGTAGCAGATTCGGACCTCGACGAACCGACAAAAATAACAGATTACGGAGTAGGGAAACACTCCTTTTGCAACGTTTGGTGTCCGATCTGCGGGCTCTTCATACCCGGTTCGCTGCCATTCTCCCTATCTCTTTCTCTTTCTGGCTCTGTCCCGCCGACCCATACAGTCGCACCTTCACATATGTACATCCTGGACACAACTTCTTGCAGAGAGCTTGAGCCGAAAAAGCTGCCGTAGCCCCATGAGGGGCGATCACTGCCAAGCCACACCTGAAGCGTAAGTCGTCCAGCGGCAGTGTCCGTGAAAAGAGGAAGCGCCACGCGGAGAGCGGGACCTTCTTCAAGAGCCTCCAGCATCGAAAGCTCGCCAAAAACTATAGAAATCCCAAGCCGGCAATCACGAAGATTCCGAACCCGGGATGACAGAATCAGATCCCTTTCGCAACCCTTCAACGATTTCCCAGATTCCACGATTCTTGAGACTCCTCGAAGTGTTACTTTAGACAGCTAAGGAACCCTAATGTAGACCGACTCATCCTTTAACCAAGCCCTAGAAATGTGGTACCCCTCTTTTTTTGGGACTCCGAAGCAAGGTCAAGGATGGCTCAGGGCCAGGGCCAAGAACGTTAACCATGGAGAGAGAAAGAACCGGGATTCCATAAACAAAACTGTACCATAATATAATATAATATAATATACTATAACTTGTATGCCTTCTCTAAGGCGTTCTGAGGGGGTCTCTTTACGAGATACCTATAAGGCTAATTCGTTCCCAGTTAACCCTTAACTTCCGGCCTAGTTAACCCTCAATTCGTCCCCGGTTAGCCCTTAACTTCCGGCCTGGTTAACTGTTATTTCGTCCCCCGTTAACCCTGAACTTCCGGCCTGCTTAACCGTTAATTCGTGCCCGTTAATCCTTAACTTCCGGCGTGGTTAGCCCTTAACTTCCGGGCCCTGTGAACCCTTTACTTCCGGCCCGGTTAATTCGTCCCCGGTTTACCCTTAACTTCCGGCCTAGCTAAGCCGAAAACTTAACAGTTAACCTTACCCGCGTAAGGGTTAACCAAGCCCGAAAGTCAACAGTTAACCCGGCCCAAAAGAAGAGTTAACTGATGTGTAAACAAAACATTTTGGACAAAACAAAACATTTTAGACAAGACTTCCAAAATATAATTATATCATGGAACCGTACTATACTATAATAAACCACAGTTCCGATTAGGGGTCTAGGGCAAAGCCTTGAGGCTAAGAGCCTCGAATCCTGAACCTGCCGAGAGTTTGATGGCCGGGGAAGCCTGGACAGAACACAGAGATAGCGTGCGAGGCTTCTTCACCCTAACTCCTCCCCCCTCCTTTGGCGAATCGCATTGCCGAAATCAACAAACCTTGCAGCATAGTTTAGCACGCCGGAGCCTTGAGGCAACTTTGACATTGAGGGCAGCAGAGCATAGGCCTTCAACATGGCGTTCTGAAGAATCCTCGACAACTGCAGAACTTGTTGACGCTGCAAAAGACTTGACAACGCCTGGGGCCTTCCGAACAACCGCAGTTGTCACGCTATTGTGGTTTCCGAGGTTTAGCCTTACTTGGTTCCTCGCCGTCCTTTGGTGCTAGTAGTTGAGGGTCGAATGCCTTCTGAAGGCATGTTTTTGTCGAATTGGCCGCCTCCAGTGTTGTCAAACAACGCGGAGGAGACTTGCCTATAGGGACACCGTTGCAGATCTGGCGCAGGCATGCTGTCTGAACTCAGGCGCCAATGCCCGCACAAGGTGATAAAGGAGTTTGCGTGAAACGGAATATGGCATCCGGATAAAGTGTTTCCTTCCGTTCTCTCCCGACTTTCTGACGAGTGAAATGTAAAGGCGTTATGGGGCAGAACCAAGAGACAAGTAGCCAAAACCCGGGATCCATTGTCGAAGAATCATATGCGACTTCTGACTTTTTTGCTGTCGGAGATTCCTCAAATCATGATGTCGTGGCTGCGGCTTTGCAGGCACGTGCCTGCGGTGTGCTGCCAAGCTTGGACGAAACACCCTTGCCCTTTCCAACAGTGGATGTGTTCGTGGCGCTTATGTGGACATCTTCTATACTCTTAATCTCCAACAAGCACCTCGTGACACCACAGAGCCTGGATGTGTTCTGCTTACTGTTCTACATTGTCACCCTGCTTGGGCTCTTGCTGACACCGGTGCAGAACTTCGAGGAGTATCGCCAAGTCATGTTCAGACTCATTTTTTGCAGGGTCCTGCCTGATGTTACTACAAAGCGTGCTTTGATGTTCGTGGTGTTCAACGTGCTCGGCCTTGTGGTGGTGATCGCCCGGGTGATCCCAGTCAGGGAGCTTGGAAAGAATCAGCTTGATGAAGCCATCGTCCTGGATCTTGCACCTGTCTTTGGAGCAGTGTTGGTTCGTCAAGTTACTCGTCTGCAAATCATGCACGGTTGTCGCTTCCGAAGCTTTCCCAAGCATGAGATCCCAACACCTTTTGTTCGAGGCGTTGTACGCGATAGCTGATGCTGGCGTCAATCTCCAGACACTCACCATCGAACGAAATGCTATCTCCAGCCTGCTCCTGGGACTTTGTGATGCTGTTGTGGAGGTGGATGAGAGTCTTGGCTTCATGCATGTGTGCGTGTGACGATGTTGACTCACCTGCGGCTTGCCTGATACCCGGTGACACTTGAATCGATAAAGTGTTCATGTTGTGGGCAGTTGCAGTGAGGTCATAAAGTTAACACTTGCTCCGAGCTTCATCGGAGCATGCACGCTGCTGCCATTGCATGAACACGACGAACCCGCTTCGTGACAGAAAGAGACTCTACTGTATGTAGACTGGGTAGCCGAGTACTTTGCCAAGGAACCTCAAGCTGACAGAAGACGGCCGTCAGCTTTCGACGATGCTGACGCTTTGCGTAAGACATGCATTGGGGTTCACAAACGGTCACTTCCGGATCTCACAGCCTGCTCCCCGATTCACCTTCAATCTTCGACTCTTTCCCAAACGTTTGGTTCTATCCAGTTCTATGTTTATTCCGCTTGACCTTGGCTTGGGAAAGGTTTTGGACACAGCTTGCATCCTAGTCACTAGCTTGCTGCAGTCGAAGCTTCAAGTCCGGGGCGCTTGGGACTTCATTGATAGTGGAACGAATGGGTGCATTGGGAACGAAGTGCGAAGAGGTCTGGGCTTATTGCATTCCTGGTGTCATACCCCGTCGATGAGAGGTGCGGGGGCTGGGACTGGTGCCGAACCGAGGTTACACGGTCGTGGCGTATCTGCCCAACAGCTTGCCGGGTCGGACCTCCTTGTGCTCCAGCGGCACCAGTCACTAGCAGCCACAAACATGATGCGGGGGTTTACATGTTCTGAGCCGATAGATAGGTTCTGTTTTGAAGTGTGGATTCTGATTCACCACTGCCCGTCCTGCTGTGTCAGTGCCTAGCAGGTCAGCTATTTAGCTGTTTGCCACATCGGATGTCCTTCTCACTCACCCTTTCATACCAGGCATTCTTCCATCCCGATGACCGAACACATGTTCAACAATGCTTATGCGGCAGCCCCGAGACTTGGCACATATCTGCTGATCTTTCGGTCTGATCGCGGGAAGCGGCGTTGCCTGAACTCCGGTGTGGTCACTCTGCTTCGAAACGTTGATGATGTTCGCACGGTTCTCAAGAATTGGGGTCTTGTCAGGGCTCTTCTTCTGTCTAAGAAGAGACTCTGGAGTCCAGACACCTCTAACTAGGATTGTGATCAGTAATAGCGGAAGCGGCGCGGTCTCCTGATTCCGGCAGAAACAGTTGCTGAGGATGACACACAGACACGAGTGTTCAACGCTCGCATGCTCGATGGTCTAAGTGACTTGGCTCAATAGACGTCAGCCCGCAGAAAGGAAATGAGCGATGAGAGCCTCAGATTGGTTGCGGTGGGCCCGGTTCAGGGTTGGGAGTTTGGAAAGATGCTTTTGGCGTTGCGAGTCTGCGATTCGACCTGGAGACTCAGCTCCTGGAAGCCCCATTTCACCAATCACAGACACAAGGGGGCCAAAACCGGCAAGGCGGACAGCACAGAAAACCTGGACCCCATCAAGGGCTGATGCTTGGGATGTTTCGCCGTTTGCGCGCTGTCTCCTCTCACGTTATGCCAGCGAGGCAACCATGTGGAAGTGGAGCTTTTTCACATCAACATGGAGAACCAGGAGGGCCAGAAGTGCTACCTTGCACCATGGCTTTCATAACTGCAACTTCGACCTGTTCTTTCGGTTGCCCCTGTGGTTTCTTTAGACCTCTCTCCGACACACTCCAAATCCGATTCATGTCATATGTTGGCTCGGCAAAGAGCTGGTCATCGAATCCGACAGCATGCATCCAAGGTGGGAATGCGAGAGTTCCAAGATCTGGGCTTTGTCGCACCTTTGCGACAAGCACCGGAGCCATCCAATCCCTCGGCCACTCGGCCGTCCTTGCTCTAGAATCACGCGGAAATGAGACGCACAGAAGTCCGTTGATGCTGGGAGACACCCCGCAATGATATGATGCAGGATACTTTTCACCGAATAGTTTCATTGCAGCGGTCCGGCATGCCCAAATCTGTTGGAGCTGTTCACCAACTGAGGGCAAAAGAGCCGGCGACTTCTCGTTTGTCTTCTGTGCCTCTTCCGCTCGAGTGCTCACTGCCGGGAAAGAGATCGACAGCTCATCGGCCGCATCCAGCTGGGACCCTTTAGATTCAGCATGTGAGTGTGAGGCAAGCTTTTCGCATTTCAGGGCTGCTGCTGAGCAACGGCTTTGACAGAGAAGAGCTGCGCGAGATGACAGTGCGGCCGGACCGCAGTAAGGGTTCAGCATGCTTGAAGTCTCCACCTGCTGTGGCAATACTGGCATCTACACGGTTGCGTAGACGCAGCTAGACTGTCGTCTGCCTGCAATGACACTTCAGCATCTTGGACTGTCTGCGCTTCGTATACAAGTGGCTTGTTTGAGAGGTTCGACCTTCTATATGGGCTGGATCCTGCCTGGAATGCCTATTTGAAAGAGAAGGCGTGGGTGAAGCTGTTCTTCTTACAGGACACAGACGAAAGGCTTGCATAAGGGTTTGGGTCCTCTCCACCTTGAATCTGGTGAAAGAGTCTAAACCATGAACGATCTGCAGGTGACCGAGAATGGCTGCGGCATTTTTCAACCGCAGCTTTACGAGCTCGGCCTGGTTCATCTGCTGGGTGTGGTCGTCAGCCCAAGTCACGGTCGATGCGGTTTCAGTCAGTGCTCGATTGAAGTAGAGTCTGCAGGCCACTATTTTTGAGTTGAAGTGGATGCTCAACCCACGGAAGAGTGATAATGGGTTGTGGCGACGCCGGCTAACAAAGGTCCCAGTGCAGGCAAACCTGGTGCTGCGGCAGGACGTCACGTAGGCTACACACGGGAATTCCTGTCCATTTCCGACTCGCTGAGTCCGAGAGCAACTGATATGTTCGATCCGAATGCGTTCTGTCGCCGCCCAGAATTCGATCTGCACAGAAACTGGCTTCGACTGTCACTGTCGAGGCTAGGTAGGCTGAGTTCCACGTACGCAACATGCATTCGCATTGTGCCCTCTGCAGTTCACGACCATCAGCAACCTCAAATCACACTTGCTCTCCTCTGCTGCTGCTGCCGTTGCGTTCCTTGAAAGCCGAATGGGTGCGTACTTGAGGACTTGCAGCCGCAACGACTGCTGGTTGTCTGTCGTCTGTAAGCAAGCTCTTGTTCTTCGAGCAGTGTGGTAAGACTACGAGCCAGGAGGCCACATTCAATTCGAGTTCCACTTAAGTGGCCCCAGCTCAGCTCTGGAAACGCTCGAAATGTCGAAAGTCCTAGCAGGGCCGCAGCATACTGCGCCTCTGCGCCAGATATTCATCCGCCGCGTGCCATGCATCTGCGGATATCTGCGGGTCGCGAGGCCGAAATGCTGCCACCACAGTCGCGCGCGCACTTTTTGCCGCCGTTCCTCCAGCAACATGGTCCCTGGTGGTGGTCTTCGTGGCGTTGGTGCGCGTTGTCGTCGTGACCGGGCGGTCCCGGTGGCCGTCGTCTATCGTCGTCGTGGTGCTGCTGGTCCTGGTCGTCGTGGTCGTCCTTGTGTCTTCGGGGTCTATGCTGGCATGATTTCGTGACGAGCTTCCCAGTATTTAGTTTGCTAGCCACGTAACTTCCCCATGCACTTCCAAAGGTGATCAGCCGCTTGTTCTGTCGGAGAATGATTGAAACACAACCGGCAGTTGCATGCGAGGATGGCGAGTCTGGTGCGTTGGTAGGTCTCGTCCGCCTTATACCGTCGCGCTCATTTCTGGAGACCTGGCAGGAGCAAAGCTTAGAGTCAAACGCCAAACAATAGCAACCATCAAAATTGGGGAGAGATCTTCCTTCTGAGAGCCCATCCATGTCTGTTGATGCTGTTGGCATGCCAAGTCCAGTTGTCGAGAGTCCGGTCATGCTCGGCATAAGGACTCAGAGACTCCAAGCAGCAAGACGAGCGGAAGCCAGTGTGGCAGCATCAACGACCTGCACCGCACCATCCCTCTCTAG